GCTGATAGAGGTGGGAGCTCTGGCTGAAGGCCTTCCCACACTCGTTACATTCATAGGGCTTCTCTCCAGTGTGGATTCTCTGGTGATGGATAAGGGTGGAGCTCCTGCTGAAGGCCTTCCCACATTCATTACAAGCATATGGTTTCTCTCCAGTGTGGATTCTCTGATGATGAGTAAGGGTGGAGCTCCAGCTGAAGGTTTTCCCACATTCACTACATTCATAGGGCTTCTCCCCAGTGTGGATCCTCCGATGTAGAATGAGGGCAGAGCTACAACTGAAGGTCTTCCCACAATCGTTACATTCGTAAGGTTTCTCTCCAGTGTGGATTCTCTGATGCTGAATAAGATGTGAGCTCTGACTGAAGGCCTTCCCACACTCACTACATTCATAGGGTTTCTCCCCAGTGTGGATTCTCTGATGTTGAATAAGGTCTGAAGTTCGATTAAAGCTCTTGCTACATTCATCACACTTATGGGGTCTGTCTCCCACAGGAAGTCTCTGATGCGAAATAAGGTTAGAACTCACAGTGAAGCTGTTCCCAAAATCACTGTATTTCTCACTTCTCTCTCCCACAGGGGTTAGCTTTTCCTCATCTGTCACTTGACCAAAATCTTGTATCTTCCTATTCAATCTTTCTCCAGAGGAGTTCCCCAGTTGCCTCTTGAGACTGACTTCTTGTTCATAAGCTTCTTCAAATTTAAGACCCTGAGAAATATCCTTTTGGAATCTTCCCAATAGCACCCCATGTGAACCGGTATCTTCGGAAATTTCTTGATCATGCTCAGTTCTGGTCTCACCATCTGGCACAATACAAAATACAAACATCACTTGTTCCTTGTGGAAGAAAGGATCAAAACCAGAGGACAGGATAATTACGAGAAGGACGTTCACGAGGCTAAAAGCACAAGCCTCTCATCTGCGTGCAGACCTGCCCAGGCTGGGAGCAGCTGATGCACAATGAGAAATCTGCATCGAGAAAATAAGGAAGAAGAAAGGCAAGAAGCAAAATCAAAGTGAAAAGATCTGGAAGTACAGAGAAGGCTGGAGATGGGAGGAGAGGAAGACAGACCAGGCAGGAGTGCGGAAACAAAAACAGAAGAGAAAGGACACACTGTTTAATGAAGTGACAAAATCCTCACAGAGGTCAGAGACTGGAAATGCAAGTGGGGAGACAGTGGCTTCCAGAAGATAGGGAAGAAGAAACATAAGCAAGCCCAGAAGGGTGATGGGAAACAGTCGCAGAGCAGGAAGAAGCGACAAGGGGGAGGCCACAGTGACCGCCACAGCCTCAGGTGAAAAGAACAATCACGTCTGTAGGCCACACATGCCAAACCCACGGAAACAGGCAAAAGACGGAGCTCAGTCCGCCTCTGGGCCCTAGGCATCGAAGGCTGGGCTAAGGTGTGAAGATACATAAACCATCTTCTTGTTTGACTTATTTCCACTGCTTTGGGATTTTCAAAGGGAGCTTTGGGCAAAGAGGATGAGTGAAAAGGGTCTAGACAGTTAGCATTTTTAGTCTGTCAATATATTAAGAAGTAAAGACCAGGAATGAGTGTTAGAGAACAGAAACAGCTGTTTCTCCCTCACCTGAACAGGCACCTCTCAGGACCTCTCTGTTCTCAGTTCCCTTCAAACCCAGGACCCTCGGCTCTTCGTCTCAATGCAGCCCAAAGATTGTGTCAAAATTCAGAAATGGAAATCCTGCCCATGGGACAAGGTTTATCCTGCTCAGAGCAAGTGCTCCCAGAGCTTGAGTCCGCACCCAGGATTCGCAGGGCCAGCAAGGAAATGTGCAGGGAGTCTCCAATGGGAGGGAGGGAGACGCCCTGCACTGCCCAGAAAATGTTCTCACTGACAGTGCGTGACTGACAAGTCACAGATTAACAGTCCACAGAATAAAGGTTAAAGACGCCAGTTGCAAATTTCTCCAGGAGCCGCAGCCACTCTAGTCCTGAACAAAGCAATGGACCCCTCAAGGGGGTACAACAGAGAAGGGAAGGAGAAGGAGTTCCAGAATGCGCACATGGGCGCCCAGCAGTACCTCACGTGTTTAGGGATCCCGAGATGCTCATCTTTTGGAAAAGGCTCTGAATTACACATTACGAATCACATGGAAAAAAAAGCAGCAGATCTGGAGCTGAAAGACCAGGGCCCGAGTCCTGCTACTTGATAGCTATAGGACCACCGTGAAGCACTGAGGGCCTCTGACGTCTCTTTCGTCACCGAGAACACAAGAAGAACCCTAGCAACCGCTGTTACTGTGTTACTGTGAGGTTTCCACGAGAGAATGTATAGGAAAGCTCTTTATAAACTGCCAATTACTGTACAAGCAGGAGTTACTATTATTGTTAGAATTTTCTGAGACTACGTCAATCTTTAGCTGATCATTTTGCGACTCAAGTGTCACTAGCCAACAAGGAAACAAAGAAATGCCAAGGGAGTTTTACTGAGAAAGCGTTATCTCCTTACCCAGCGAGAACACATTCCCATAATTCTCCAGCATCACATCCCTGTAGAGGTCCCTCTGAGCAGGCTCCAAACGCTTCCACTCCTTCCGGATGAAGTACACAGCTACATCCTCAAACGTTACCAACTCCTGAAACAACACGGTCTTGCGTGCAATTTCAGGGGGAGGGAGGGGACCGGCAGCACCAAAAATAATAACTGGGAATGAGGATAACAATGAGTATCTAAGAGGTGGGGGAAAGGAGGTTATGGCAGAGGAAGAGAGGGGTCCGTTATTCAGCAGGAAAGAACCACGTTCCTGATGGGGGGAATCACGGTTTGGGGCACTGAATGGATGTCACGGCATAAAGGTTTCCATGAGATGGGAAGGAAGAAGGATAAAGGGAATCACAGCTCACCTGGGACTTGGCCTTTAGGAGTGCAGCTGCCAACATCTCATCCCCTAGGCTGTCCTTGTCGGAAAATGCAGGAACTGTCGAGGAAGGAAGAGCTGAAGTACAATAAAAGGCTCCGTGAGTGAACCCATCTGCTCTCTGGCCTCCCAACCCACAGAAAACTCACTGGGTCCTGGAACCTAGGACCCAAGTCCTCTTGAGGTGAGGTGTCCAAAGCCCTGCTGATCCTGCTCTCCATCTGCCCCAGGTACCTTCCTTTCTGTTCAGTCACTGCTCTCTCCCAGAAACCGGCCCAGTCCTCCCATTAGTGATCAGCACCTTCTTGTCCTTTCTCCCAACCTTGGCCAGCAACGCAGACATTCCTGCTCACCCCTTCCATCCCTCCCCACATCTCTGAACTCAAGACTCGTGCACAAAGGTCTCTTAGACCAGAGGAAACCAGCAGCCTCACCCAACCCCAACTGAACAACACAATGCCCATTCTCCTCCTTTCTCTTCACCCCAGGTCAAATCTAAACACTACAAAATGTTTCCTGGTTCTGGGCTTGATCACATCTCTTCTTCTGTAATTCTTAATATATTTGTCCCTTAGAGATTCTAAACCCCTAGAGACACAAGACTGTGTGCAATCACCGGGACAAAGAGACCCTTAAATGCTTTTTCCTGACAAGCATACCCTTTCAACAGCAATTGCCTCCGAAGTCAGTGGCACAGTCTATGACAGCAAAATACAAATACCTTAGTGGCTTCTGCTCATTTCATCCTTTTGCCTGTGACCTACAAAGTGATTTCCCAAGAGCCTCCCCTAAGTGCATGCTCCTAAAGAACACAAAGTAGGACCAAGCACCTGGAATTCTGTGATTGTCAGTTTTCTTAATCCTGCATGAGGTCCCAACGGCCCTTCACAAATGCCTCAGCTGTAAAGGCTACCAAGCTGTACATTCATTGTTGGCTTCAGTTAGCTGTTCCACTGGGCTGTAAGCTACCAAATGGGAAAGACTGTGTCTTAGCCACATCTGGATTCTAGTGGTTAGCCCGATTCCTGGTGAATAAGACATGCAGCATGACTGCTGAATGCCTGAATAAAAGAATAAATGAATCTCTATTCCTTACCACTCTCAAGCAGGGCCTGAGGTTCCTGAGATACGCAATCAGCCTGAGTTTCCATGGGTAGGGCCAGAAGCTCTGGGTCTCTGGTCCACTATCTGCAGACTCAGCAGGAAGCCGGTTTTGAATGAGAACGAGGAAGCACTGCGGAAGCAAAGTTCAAGGTTCAATGATTAAAACAAAACAAAACAAAACCAAAAAAACCACCTCCCTTGAGCTAGCATTTCAGTTCATACCCACGATTAGCAGGAGGAATTGTAGCAACCAGGACCAGTCTTCTAGATCCCGGTAAATACCCTGTGAAGAGATTCCATGAGCACCACAGAAAGACAATCTGGAGCTGAAAGACCAGGGCCCGAGTCCTGCTACAATTGTCTAGGACAATTGTCCTAGACAATATCCCACCTTTGGCTCCCACAACATACTGAGTGATATTTATAACAACAGAAAACGTGGAACACTGGTGCCAAATAACGATACTAACAGAATTAAATACTAAGAACGATTGAAATTTAAAAAAAAAACCAATAAAATGAAAAAGTACGTACACATAGATCTGCAAAATGTGTATGTATTGTATGAACTTTTAAGAATGTTTGGGATAGTGCATAAAGCTAACTGTTTACAGATTTTTTATTTACTTATTTATTTTTAAGTAGACTCCATGCTGGGCTTGAACTCACGACCCTTAGATCAAGACCTGAGCTGAGATTGAGAGTCAGAGGCTTAGCCGACTGAGCCACCCAGGTGCTCCTATTTACAGATTTTTTTTTTTAAAAACCTAAACATTAGAGCTAGTAGAAGGAAAAAAATTACTTTATTAGATTTCTAGCTGTTACATTTAGGTGTTATCCTTTGAGGAAAAGGGGTCACAAAACAGCACCCAATGGCAGAGATCAGAGAAACTTTCCGTTGAGTTCTCGGTCTCTCATTTAGAAAACCCTGGGGAAATAACAGCTGACACCCAGAACTACGGCAAATAGCTCAGATCTATTAATTAAATTAGAGAAATCCTTCCTTCCCTTTCTAAGACAGCTGTCTGCTTCCAGTTTCAGCCAAAGGCAGGATGTTACTGAGGGACGGGAGCCCCTTCTGTGGTCCCCATGCAGTGTCATCGCAGGGAGCAGGTGTACGTACTCGCCAGATCTAGAGGCTGGGCCCGTCACCGAGAAGGTAGCAGCCGGCCTTCTTTCTACCTCCGTTTTCTCCTAATACATTTCCTTGGATCAGAATATAAGTCCCTGCCGCACGGACCAACACTTTTTTAAAAAAACACGTAAGATTACTTATTACTCCATTTTCATCCCTCCTGACGTCCCCATTCCCCAGTTGCTATGACAATCAAGAGAGGTCTGTTCTCTGTGGCTCTAGTGAATAAAACAGAACGTGAGTATCTAGACTAAGGTTTGGATCTCAAGCAGAAGCTTCTACTTCACACTTGAATGCCGTGACAGGAGTCAACAGACCAAGAACAGCCACCAGAGCTTTCTTACACTTGGGCAAGAGCAAAGTAAAAAACCCCTGGACTTTGTCTACTTCCCTCTTTATTTATCTACTCATGTAACAAACAACTGCTGAGTGTCACTACATTGCAAGACACTACTGAAAGGAATGTGAACGATATTTGCTTTACCATTATAGACAGCTGCGTTCACATAAAGCATAAAAAGGGGAGGGGCCCTGAGAGTCAGAGTTCACAGAACTCTAGTGTTTGGGCAACAAGGGGGTACAGAATGCCCACCACCAATGCCTTTACACAGAGAAAGACATTGAATGAGGCATGAGCTAGGCCCAGTGGCAATCAAGGTGACACACCCTATTGCCACCAAGGCTCCCTCCTCACTGGGTCCCTTCAACTCTGTCTCAGAGCCAGCCATCTTTTGTTCCTATCAACCAACTTTATGATTTCCAGGACTGTTTATAAGCAGACACCTCCAACGAATCAGCTCTTGGTCCAAACTCTCTTTAGAAAGGAAACTCAGAGGCTCTGACTCCAGAAGAAAAAAAACAAGCCTCCCTCCTCAAAGCTGGGTTAACCAAAGCTGGAACTCAAAGGCATATTGTTGAGAACAAGTCCCCAGTGTCTGCATCAGTACACAATGTTTCTCACAGAAAGAAAAATCTCCATTGTGCCCCCACAGCTTCAGGTCCAGGCAGGGCCCTTCCCTGCTCTGGGGCCAGCGCCTCTCCCTGAAGCTGCTCCTGCGGACTGACAAAGACGACCTGGCAGTGAGAACGAGTCATGAAAAGCTTTACCTGCTGGAATCTTTCCTTCCTTCTTTGGAGTTAGGTCCTAGAAGACCAGAGTAGCAATTATCGGGACTTTGGAAGCCTTTGTGCAAGTTCCTGGAAATTCTAACTTAAGTTGACGCCAGTGCTGTATGATTAAGGGGGGAAAAAAGGAATTAAAAAATATTCATGTAAACTTCATTTCTACTCAGATATAAGGAAAAAAAAAGACCATACACTAATCAACACAATTAAGACACAAGTGGTTATTTGTGTTGCACCCCTGGAGAGCTGAAAGGCAACTGAAGGTTCTCCAGGTCAACCTCCCACCCAAGTGTAAGAAATGCCTTCTCAAGTTCCCAATGTTCTGACAGCCAAACTTGCAGGAAACTCTCAACCTCAGCACGGAGTCTGGTCCATTGCTGCAAAGCTTCACCAACAGAGAGGTCTTCGGTAGGTAAGGTGGGAAAATCTATCCCCCTTGGACCTTCACCTTACAGAGGCCTAGCACCCTGCCCTAAGGTGCTTCAAGAACAGAATCTTCTCCTTCCACACAACTGTTCCTCAAACACTTGTAAGCCAAATGACGCTCACTGTCCATAAACTTCCCTTCTTGGGGATAAATACCTTTAGCTCCTCTCATTGTTCCCTATATTTCGGGTTCATCATCCTGCCTATCCTCTCCTGGAGTTTACGAATGCCATTCAGAGCGTAAACATCCATCTGCGTTCAATCCCACTTCAAAAGCGGATCAAATCAGGGACCTAACACAATTGAAAGCGGGAGCCAGACACAGCTGCACCAATCCCCGTAAGGAACTCGATTTACTGAGCGCCAGGGGATTATTCTCGGGAACTAGGTTTGCACTCTCCCCCACCCCCCATTCCAGAGCTACTTCTAACTGCGAACACTTCGTTGAACTCCTTCTCAGATCTCAGACCCGGCTAAGTACAGAGAGACTTCTCCTGCCACTGGCGCGAATAACTGTGTTAACACCAAATAAAAGCGTATGAGAGGATTACCAAGTTAGGGAAACTGTCATCAGCTGTTCTAAAGAGAGGGGCCCGTTTACAGCCGTACTGGAACTTTTAAGTGCTCGTGCTGGGCTAAGTCACAAGCCCAGAACCGGAGCCCCTTTCCTCCCCTCCTGGCAAGGCCCCGTTTGGAGGAGGGAGGTCCCCGGGGAAGCGGAGTCGGGGACCGGCTGCGGGGGAGGGAGCGGCGCCTCCCGGCAGCTCCGGGCAGGCCTGGGGACCCCGCGGGCCGCAGCGGCGCGGACACCACCCCTTTCCCCGGCGGCCACAGCCTCCGTCTCACCGCGAGCCCCGGGGGCGGCCGGACTCACCCTGGGGGCAGGGACGGGAGATTTGGGGGGCCAAACACCGACCAGGCCCCGTTGGACCCTGTCACAGACCCACACACCCGGACAGAACAAAGAACGGAAGTTCTCTCTATTTCGCTTCCGGGTCGATCCTTTTCATTACCCACCCTATCCCCGTAGCCTCCACGCCCACTTGTTCTCTCTAGGAACTTTGGAGGTGTTCCCCTCTCGGTGATTCGCTGACTCCCGGCCTAGGCCGCGCGGCGGCCGCCAACGCCGGCCCTGGCGCTCCCGCCCGCCGCCGCGCCCCCTGATGGCCGGGCGGGGCGAAGCGCCACGTCCCTCGGCCTCAGGGCGCATGCTTGGGCGCCCCAGAACCGGCGGGGCGGCGGGGGTTCCCCCGCGGATCGTCGAGGGCGGAGGAGAGCGCACCTTGGCAGAGCGACCCGGGTCCCGAGCCGACCCGCAGCAAAAAAGACTTCTGAAGGGTTCATCGGTAGAAAAAAATTCACCTTTGTTTGAAATTTCCAAATAAACCAAGTTTTGTGTTTGTTTCATGTAAAAATGCCCCCTTTATTTTTATTTTATTTTTTTAAAGATTTTATTTATTTATTTGACGGAGAGAGACAGCGAGAGAGGGAACACAAGCAGGGGGAGTGGGAGAGGCAGAAGCAGGCTTCCCACTGAGCAGGGAGCCTGATGCGGGGCTCGATCCCAGGACCCTGGGGCCATGACCTGAGCCGAAAGCAGACGCTTACCGACTGAGCCACCCAGGCGCCCCAAAATGCCTCCTTTAAATTAAAATCCGAAGAGAACATTCCTGCCCATCAGAGAGTCCCCGTGAGGACAAAACCTGTACAAGCGATGAGAGAGGAAAGTCGGGGAAGTTACTAAAATCTATCCGGTGTATCCGAAGAAGACAAGAAGACTGGCGGGCGAGGCCCCCCAGGAGCTGTCTGTGTGAGATCCTTGAGGAGAGGAGGGGAAGGTTTCCGTGGTTCACTCACTTTATGCCCTCACAGGAGGAACCCTGTAAATGTAGGAATCAAATCCTTCCAGGTCACATACAGAATGAAATCTTGTGATATCCTGAGTAACGAGGGGGCCCTCCTGGCTCCCCTTCCAGCCCTGCCTCCCATTTGATCCCAGTTTCCACTGCATCCCATTTTTATGGCGCCCACAGTCAGCTCTGAGAACGCAACACTTCACTTTCCAGTGACGGCAGGCTAAGGACAGCAATTTAAATGACCCAATTCCAGTAAAATATGAAAAGTGCTAGGAAAGGAGAATTTGCAGAAGTGTTGCAGGCCCTGGAAGAGAAGGGGATGCTAGGGCAGAGGAAATAGTCAGGACTAAGGCCTGGAGGCAGAACAGAAGTCACTAATAACACCTTGAGGGTGGCCTGAGATGGGTGGGTGCCTGACCCATCTCCAGTCCTTCCAGACCATAATGAGAATTTGAGCAAGTACTTGGCATAATCAAGTCGCTCAGTAAACTCAATACCCACCCTCATCCCCACCAAAACAACACACACACACACACACACACACACAAGTCCCTGGGCTTTTTTTTTAAATCTCTCCTCCATTCCTTTTTCTTCCACTCCTACTTTAGGATAAGAAGGACAGAGATGAGGAAGGAGGCAGGGGCAAGGAGAGCAGGGCAGGGTGGAAATGGTCTCCTCAAAGTGGGATTGTTTGTTCTGTAAAAGGTTCCCTAATGACCATCCGAAGGGAACAGCTCTTAGACACCCAGCACCTTCAATGCTATCAACTTTATTACTCTGGGGCTGAGAAGTCAATTTGTAGCTTATGGTTAGTGTTTGCCCCAGAACCAAGCCAGCTGGCTAATTCCCAGCAAGTTCTCAAAAGCTGTGCTCTTAATGATTATTCTTCTGAGTCCATGGTCTCCGGAGTGTCATGAGTCACCTAGGGGATGCTCAAGGCAATCCACCAAGGTGGGAAAGGAAGTGTTGGAACTTCTGTAAAGCTTTTATCTAAAAGAAAGGAAGAAAATAAGAGTAAAAAAGTAAGCCTTACCAAAAGTCAATAGAAAGGAGGGCGCTGGTAGCCTCACTGGGGTCTTCACAGCAGTCTTCAGACAAGGATATGAGCAACGTGGCAGGTAGGAATGCGGGATGGAGAACACAAATATTCTCAGAGCGTCTGTGTAGGCAGCTAGTTTTGAGAGAATCAGTTGCCAGAGTCTTATATTTTCTATCTGTACACCTTTAAGATTGCTCCCTTGGCCAGGGTGCCCTCCTTCACGGCCATCTTCCCTCCTGATGGAAGATAGGTTTCTCACGCCCAATACTGCTATGTATTGCCCTGGGGCATCAAAACTTTTGGGGTACCAAACAAAAGGACTCATTTGAAATATCGCTGCCAATAAGGATTAGGTGGACAAATCCTTTGTGATTCCAGTGATTTCCCAGTACTTCCCTCCACCAGTAAAAGCAAAGGAGGACAAAACCATTTCTGTTGATAGATCACAGTGTGATTTTGGTATGTAAAATCAACATTGCTATAACTATATTCCTTCTACCACTCATCTTCTCAACTTACGTGAGCAGGAATTTTCAACATTTACGTCTTTTATAAAAGCAAAAGTAGAGGGGTGCCTGGCTGGTTCAGTCGCTAGAGGATGCAACTCTTGATCTCAGGGTCTTAGATGTAAGCCCCACATTGGGCATAAACCTTACTTAAAAAAAATTTTTTTTTTAAAGGAAGGAAATTTTAAAAAGCAAAAGCAAAAATAGCAATAGATTTAATACTTTAGTAATAAGTAATGCCCACTTATTGAGAAAAGCCTCTCAAATCTGCACCCAGAAAACACTTGAAAATACGATTTTCTAACCTTTTAAAAAATACTCCAAAATTACGTGTGTCTGGGTGGCTCAGTCGGTTGAGCGTCGACTCTTGGTTTTGGCTCAGTCATGATCTCAGGGTCATGAGATTGAGCCCCATGTCAGGCTCCGTGCTCAGTGGGGAGTCTGGTGGGATTCTCTCTCCTCTTTCTCTCTCTGCACCCCCCCCACTCTTTCTCTCCAAAATAAATAAAAATAAATCTTAAAAAAAGGAAATATTTAGCCTTTTTAAAAAATTCCAATATTAGTGGCTGGAATTATTTTGTGTATCTGTCTACTTCTCATTGTCAGTATTCTCTCTCCTCCAGCCCCTACTAGAGTCTCTGAGAGCAGGGACACTGACTGTCTTATTTAGCAATGTAATCCTCCAGAATCTAGAACACTGCCTGATAATAACAACTCTGCAATGACTGATAAATAAGTAAATATTTATGGACTTGTTCGTTTACCTCCAGTATATCCTCAAATATATACAAACCATGCCCCAGATATTGCATGAGACATTTTATTAAAAATTATTCGTTGTTCACCTGAAATTGAAATTTAACAGGTCATCCTGCATTTAATCTGGCAACCCTATCTCCACTGAAATTGTCCTTGTTGAAATTAAGGGGAATGATATTTTAGCTCACTTCCCTCATTTCAAGCCATATATGTGTTCAAATTCTTTTTTCTGCTGATAGAATTCTGCAGTTCCCACCTGAGGGGATAAACTTTATGCTAGGTACACTTCTTTCTCCTGCTAATTCTTTGATTTGACAGGATCCTAAGAAATGTAATTTTAATGACTTTGGGACCTATGGGATCTTCCATTCTTTCATGTTAGGAAAACCATAAAGTTCTCAAGGAGACTTAAATTTGTATGTGGGTATTTTACCTGGCTTTGTCTAACTCAAGATCAAAACTTAGAGTCTTTTTACTGCTATTTCCTTTGAGTCAGAAAATACTTCCTCATTGATGTATTTATATTATTAATTTCTTTCCTCATCAATATTGTAAAGTAGTCCATAATACCAATGTGTTTGAATAACAAAATTCAATAGAATTACTTCGCATTCTGAAAGAGCTTCCAATGGCCATTCTTTTAGAATACATTGTTAATCATTGTAGACTCTGGCTTTTTAGACTAAATATATGACAATCAACCTCAGCCAATATTCTCTTTGATGCTCAAATTGTCACAACTCTGGCAAACGTGAGCTCATTTTTTAAATTTTCTTTTAATTTTAAAAAAGATTTTATTTCTCAGAGAGAGAGCACAAGCAGGGGGAGCGGCAGGCAGAGCGAGAAGCAGGCTCCCCGATGAACAAGGAGCCCGATGTCGGACTCGATCCCAGGACCCTGGGATCATGACCTGAGCTGAAGGCAGACCCTTAACTGACTGAGCCACCCAGGCATCCCAACATGAGCTCATTTTAGATTGGTCCCTGTGTCATTTCAATAAAACCTCATCAAATTTGAGAGCCTTTTGGCACAACAAAACTGCCAGGCTCACCTTACATTTTTTCTGAATATAGAATTACCTATTTCTCCAAGGAACACTGATGACACATAGTCAGGGTGGGGGAGAAATATATGCATATTGGGGTTCACATTATTTCTGGGCAATTGCTCTTGGACAGAAATAAAAAAAGATAGGTATTTTATTGTGAAGAAATGAGTTAATATTGCTACTGCCAATCCAGTTTTACTTAAATTCTTAATTCTACAACTATACTCCTTTATCTTCTATGGGTAAATCTTCATTAAAAAAAAATTTTTTTTTAAGTAAACTCCACCCCCAACATGGGGCTCAGCCTCAGGACCCTGAGATCAAGAGTCACATGCTCTACTGACTGAGCCAGCTAGGCACCCCCTTCATTTCAAACTAAATAAATATAATGGTTTATTTTTTTCTGACATTTCAAGTATAGTTCTCAAACAATTCAGTAGCCACACAAATGATACAATTACTGAATAAAGTTTAAAATCTTTTAGTCTTTTTTTTTTTTCCCCCATCACTGTCTCTAATGCTGCCTCTCCTTTTTAAAAATTTTATTTCCAGGGGTGTCTGGGTGGCTCAGTTGGTTGAGCATCCAACTCCTGATTTGGGCTCAGGTCATGATCTCAGGGTTGTGGGACTGAGCCCTGCGTTGGGCTCCATGCTGAGGGCAGAGTCTTCTTGTCTCTCTCCCTCTGCTGTCCCTGCTACCCCGGCTCTCTCTTAAATAAATAAAATCTTTCAAAAAACTTAACTATTTTCTTTTTTA